CCCAGCCGCCAGCCCCGGCCGCCGCCGCCGCCGCCTTCCGCAGGCTCTGCTGTCTCCACGGAAACCTCACTTCCGCTTCCGCAGGCCCTGCACGCTGCCTCCTCTGAGTGGTTAAAGATCTCGTCAGTCTGCAGACTAGAACCAATGGTCACCCTCAGAGGCTCAACAACCCAGGATGCGCTGCCTCCAGGTCCCAGAAGGCTATGGGTCCCAAGGGTCAGCCGGGACAGCTCCCTCCCTGAAAAGCCGAGGTAATGTGTTGTTATGAACTTTAAGGTCGGGCGGGGTACGATTGTCCTTAAGTCCCAGAAGCCCAACACTCAGTGGCAATACTTAATTAGGTCACCCCCCCACTCCCAAAGGGACCTTAGGCCTGCCTCAGGCTAGGATACATTTAGCTTGTTTTCACAACTGTGTTTTTGCAATTGTCACCTTTGCTCATTAAAGAAATTAAGGAACTTGCTAAATTTATTATCTTTTGTTTTCTTGAGACAAGGACTCAACATGTTTCCTTTGCTTGCCTGAAACTTGCTATGTATAACATGCTGGCCTCAAATTCTTGTCCGCCTGCTTTTGCCTCCTAAGTACTAGGATTCAGGGGGCCAAATACAGGGTTTCTCTGTGGCTTTGGAGGCCGTCCTGGAACTAGCTCTTGTAGACCAGGCTGGTCTTGAACTCGGAGATATGCTTGAGTGCTGGTATTAAGGATGTGCGCCAGCCAGGCGTTGGTGGCGCATGCCTTTAATCCCAGCACTTGGAAGGCAGAGGCAGGCAGATCTCTGTGAGTTCGAGGCCAGCCTGGTCTCCAGAGAGAGAGTGCCAGGATAGGCTCCAAAGCTACACAGAGAAACCCTGTCTCGAAAAAAACAAACAAAAAGGGTGTGAGCCATCACCGCCCAGCATACCTAAATTTCTTGATCTTTTTTTTTTTTTTTTTTTTTTGGTTTTTCGAGATAGGGTTTCTCTGTGTAGCTTTGGAGCCTATCCTTGCACTCGCTCTGGAGACCAGGCTGGCCTTGAACTCACAGAGATCCACCTGCCTCCTGAGTGCTGGAACTAAAGATGTGCGCTGCCACCACTGCTGCCGCCTGGCCTGGTCAAATTTCTTTTTTCTTTCTTTCTTTTTTTTTTTTTTCAAATTTCTTATGATTATATTTGAGGTAAATTAAATGTTGTAAATTCACCAGATAACACACCCCAGGAAAATTGTTACCAAGCATACCCTGTAGTATGTGGAATGCAGCTGTACCCATGAGTACTGATTTGGTGAAGGGGTTACTGTTACGGTTTCTCTGAGGTGGTATGTGAGAGGATGGTTTCCCTGTGCTCTAACTGTAGCTTATTCTTGTCTCCACCCTGACCTAGGCCCCAGCGTGTTGAGACACAGCCGAGTCCATAGGCATACATCTCCTAACCATATTGAGTCCATAGGCATACATCTCCTAACCATATTGAGTCCATAGGCATACATATCCTAACCATATTGGTCCCACTGAAACCTTGCCTGTGTCAGGCACTGTTGGCTGTCATTCTCATTGGGTGCTACTCTGACTATGGGTCCACATCTATAGAGTCCAAAACCAGGAAAGTTCTTAAATCTTTATTCAGCCAATCCTCTCAGGTCTCAGGCCCTGATGATGACTGTCACACCCCCATCCCTTTCCCCACAGGAGGCATTCAGTTGAGGCCACAAAGCATTTCATACATTCATACACTTCGATCAAAAGTATCTGAGGGAGACTCTGGCTTTGGCAATCAAGAAGTGGGTCTGGTCCAGCAACATCTTCCTTAGAGGAGGCACTGATTGTAGCTGCACTTGCCAGCCCTCCCTGACCTCAGGGTATATGTGTAAGTCATAAGGCACTGTAAGAGGGAAACAGACTCTACCTTATGTCTGCATTATTCTGAGCAGTTATCCTTGGCTCTGACTGGGCTATCCTGAGACTTAATCATGACCCCATAGATACGGGTCCTCACCCCTGCAAACAGAACCTCGTTCTGCTTCTGGAGTCTCTTAAGCTTTTCACAGCTGACACCCTGATGAAAGCCTGGAACAGCTACCCAGAGTACGACCCAGTATATAAGGGGCAGAGGGATGCAAAGCCATGCCCCGTTATATCCACTGGAGAGGGCCAGCTCCTTCACTCTTCTCTGGGCTCAGTCCCTTTAGTAGAGGACCACCTCCACACACACACACTCCTCAGGCCTCACGGGCCCGCTCACACTCACACGGCACGCCCTTCGCATTGCCTATTTTCCTCCTGCCACCCAGGGACACAAAAGGTCACCCCAAAGGACAGGCGTGCAAGGCTTCCTGAATCTTCTGGCGGCAACGAGAGTACTTCTGCAGGATCTGTCGGAGGTGTTCCTCTTCTTCCCGCTGCAGGATGCGTAGGAAATTGTGCAGTTCAGGCATGCTGAAGGCATCCCACTGCAAAGGGGCAGAGGAGAGACATATGGGCCACAGTAAGAAATAGCGAAGTTAGCAGAACCTCTTCAGAGACCAGGGCCTCGTGGTCACACAACCTAGGATTGGGCTTCCTGCTATTACCTCCTTTTTCATTCCCCAACCATATCTGTTTTGGTTTTGTTGTTATTGGTTTTAATTATTTTATGTGTATGGGTGTTTGTATGTATGTGTGCAAGCGCACTCGAGCATGTATGTATGCACATCTTGTGTTTGCCTGGTGCCACATAGAGATCAGAAAAGGGCATTAGATCCCTTGGGACTGGAGTTACAGATGGTTGTGAGATGCCATCTGGGTGAAGATGCCATGCTCTTCACTAAGCCAACTCTTTAGCCCCTTTTTGTTGTTCTTTGAGTTACAGTCTTGCCACATATCGAAGGCTGGCCCTGAACTTGTTATGTAGCCCAGGTTAGTCTCAAATCTGTGATTCTCCTGTCTGTTTGCTGAATGCTGCTATTGCAAGTATTTATCAGTATGCTAGGCTGACATTAGGCTCTTGGCTAAATAGTCTGTGCTAGGATCTTCATGAGAAGTCTGCATAAAAGACAGATCTTATAAAAAAAAGTTATCTCATAGACACAGGGGGCTGGAGAGATGGCTCAGGGGTTAAGAGCATTGCCCCTTCTCCCAGCAACCACATGGTGGCTCTCAACCATTTGTACTGTAGTCTGGTGCCCTCTTCTGGACTGCAGGGATACATGCAGGCAGAACACTGTATACATAACAAATAAATCTTTAAAAAAAAAAAAAAATTGGCATGTTCTCAAATACCTGTTGTCTCCCCCTGCCACAATACAATGGGCTATGAACCAAACCCAGAGTCTCATAAATGTAAACAAGCTACATTTTTCTTTACTTCAAGCTACCTTCTCAGGCAGCCCACTAGTCATCCCGATTTTTTTCTTTTGCTGCTGAGCTTTACGCATATTAAGCATATATTCTTACCACTGGGCCACACACTGAGCCCTATGTGAGAAGCCTTTTTTATAACATTACTGGGAGTTGAATTGTGCTGGCTAGTTTTAGGTCAACTTGACACAAGCGAGTATTACCTGAAAGGAGGAAACCTTGAGAAAAATGCCTCTATAATATCCAGCTGTAAGACATTTTCTTTATTAGTAATTGATGGGGGAGGGCTCAGCCCATGGTGGGTGGGGCCATTCCTGGGCTAGCGGTCATGGATTCTATAAGAAAGCAGGCTGAGCAAGCCAGGGGGAGCAAGCCAGTGAGCAGCACCCTTTATGGACTCTGCATCAGATCCTGCCCTGTGTGAGCTCCTGTCCTGACTTCTTCCAATGACGGGCTATGATGTGGAAGTGTACAAATAAACCCTTTTGCTTTTGGCCATGGTGTTTCATCATAGCAATAGGAATCCTAAGACATGAACCAAAGGCATGTAACATGCTAAGCACATGAACCACCGAACTATGGCCCAAATCCTTTTACTTTTTGAGAGAGCATCTCACTAAGTTAACCCAGACTGGCCTTTAGGTTACTTTATATCCCCAGGAAGACGTTGAACTTGTGATTCTTCTGCTTCAGAAGCCCAAGTAGTTGAGATTACAGGCCAGTGTCACTAGGCCTTGCTAGGAAGAATGTTTTTTGTTGTTGTTTCTTTTTTGATATAGGACCTTGCTATGTAGCTTAGCCTGGCCTCCGGCCATGGTGCTCAGTTCACTCAAAGAGTGCAAACTTGTAAGGATCATCTACTATCATGAACTTGCGCAGCAGGGCCTCAATGACCTCACGTGCCTAGCTGGTAAAAAGTCTTAACACTTGAAAGTAGGCCTTCCTGTTTCCTGGTTATACCTGTGAAGCTTTTTTCTTTAAGATTTGTTTTTAGGGGCTGGAGAGATGGTTCAGTGGGTAAGAGCACCGGTTGCTCTTGCTAGGACCTGGGTTCAATTCCCACCAACTATATGTTGGCTTTCAATCATCTTAGCTCCAGTTTCAGGGAAGCCAACATCTTCTGACTTCTGTGGACATGTGTACAAACATATATATGCCTGTGAGCATATATGTGCACTGTGTGCATGGTCTAGAATTACGGGCATCAGTAACCCTCTATGTGGATGCTAAGAACCTAATCTGGGTCCTCTGTGTGAGCAGTAAGTGCTTTTAACCACTGAACCATCTTTCCAGCCCCATTGTTTTAATTTTATAGGTGTGTGTCTGTGTGGGTTATGCACACATAAGTACAGCTACCCTCTGAAGCCAGAAGAAGAAGTCAAATCCTTTGGAACTGGAGTTGTAGGTGAAAGTGGTCTACCTAACATGGGTGCTTCAAACAGAATTTGGGTTCTCTGGAAAAGCAGGAAGTACTCTTAACTCTTAACTGCCAAGCCATCTCTAAGCCCACACCTGTGTAGATTTGAACTTGTGTTGGCTCACCATGAGTCAGTCAAATCCCTCAATCTTTGGAGCAATTTCCACACCAAGAAACAACAAAGTGCTAGGAAAATTCTTCTTCGCTTGCTTTTGTGGCCCAGACTGACCCCAAACTCCTAGCAAGCCTCAAGTCTCAGCATTCCAAGCCCCACAATGACAAGTATGAACCACTAGATTCAGTTTCTTCCTAGTTTCTTGGGATAGGCTCTAGACTTTGGCTTGAGTGTCCTGGAAACCCATACTTTAATTTCGGGGACCTGTATATTCTTACAGAGGTTGTGCAGGCTTGTTCTCCAGCCCAGTTTCTCCTGAAACCCTCATTGTAGCTACATACTACCAGCTTTGTCTAGTGATAAGAAAATAAGAAAGATTATGTACTCACATTCACCTCCCCAGAGTCATTCTCTTTTAAGACAAAGCTCAGGGCCTTCTCACTAGGCCCTGCAAGAAGCCGTAGCTTCAAGGGCTGCTCATCATCTGACAGTTTCCGGAAGTACACTGGAGGTCAGGCAGGGGGAAAGGATAAAGAATTAGAAACAGGCTCAGGTGCCCCAGCCCCTGAATGCACAGGTATGGGATATATACCTTACACAGGGAGAGCTGGGATAGGAAACCTACCTTGGCCATGACGCTCTGTTCGCTCAAAGAGCGCAAACTTGCGAGGATCATCCACTACCATGAACTTGCGCAGCAGGGCCTCAATGACCTCACGTGCCCGTGTTCGTGACAGAACATGCAAGTGCTTAATAGCATCCTTAGGCAAGTAAAAGGAGGTGCGGCGCCTCACAGCTGTGCTCCGCCCTGGGCCCCGCCGGGCGTCCTGTAAAGAAGGCGGTTTCTTGCTGGAAGGCACTGAGACAGGACGTACCAGTTTCAGCTGAACCTTGATGAAGCCTGTGTAGGAGCCATCCTTGTTCTAAAAAGAGAAAGAAAAACCATACCATGACAGGAAATTCTACTGGAGATGGAAGAGGCTAGGGTTGAGTCCACCTGGGGCTAGGCTAGGTATGCATAGATCACGGCTTGAGCCAACCAAGAAGACTTTGGCTACAACTCTAGCCATCTGGCACAAAGCTGGGTTCTGCTCCTCCCCACACTGCTAGCCTGAGCAGTCAACTCACCAGGCTCATGAAAAGGTTGCTGTTGATTTGGCCATTGTAATCCTTGATCTTCTGCTCAGTCTCAGCCTGAGAAAGGTCAGGTGTCTCCCGCTGTACAGGCTCGTCCTAAAAGACAGGCCAGCATGGATACAGGGTCCTTGAAAAGTGCAAGGCTTAGCTGGGCTCTTGGTGGCGCACGCCTTTAATCCCAGACTCGGGAGGCAGAGGCAGGCGGATCTCTGTTAGTTCGAGGCCAGCCTGGTCTCCAGAGCGAGTGTCAGGATAGGCTCCAAAGCTACACAGAGAAACCCTGTCTTGAAAAACAAAAAAAAAAATACAAAAAAAAAGTGCAAGGCTTTTTTGGTGGAAAAAACAAAAAAGCCAGAACACCCCTTGGATCTTGATTTTGGCCCTGTCACTAAACCCAAACCCCCTGAATTTGTCACTGCTCTCAGTTTTGCATGTTATAGATGAAGACAACAAAGAATCATTTGGCTTTCTGCTGTCTGGGGGGTGGGTCACCTCAGCACTGGTTATGGCCCCTAACAGCATTACAGAAATAAAGACAAATAAAGGCACATGGCAAGGGGCCAGGAAAACATGAAGGACTATTAGGGAGGAATGTTGTTTAAAGTAAAAACACTTCTTGGGGATAAAAGTGACAGAGTACTTGTCTAGCAAGTGAAAGGCCCTTCCATTCCAAGTACTACCCCCACCCAAATAAAATTAAAACCGTATCTCAACTGAGCCCAGAATACCAGTAGGGTCAAAGTTTATTCTGGAGAAGGCAGCCCAAGTCTCCCACTTTGTACCAGCACAGAACTTGAGGCACTGCAGGGAGCGAAGCATGGGAGCTGACACACACCAGGAGTCTAACTACCAGCAGGCAGGAGGGAAAAGGTGATCTCTGTAATACCAACACGGGGCCAGCCCCACCACATCTCACATAGGGGAGAAATCACTGTCACATAGCATTTACCCATGACTCAAGCTTCACCAAAGGCAGCGTCAAGCCAGGTTCTAATCTGCCAGAGATGTGCAGGCAACTTTCTGGCAGAGGCCATCCTATCAGTACCAAGCAGGTAGGATGCTCTTCCCCTTGCTGTCTGGAAACTCAGCCTGAAGCTTTTTTAGCTCTTCAGGAACTGGGTGTTTGCTGGCAGGGTGGAGAGGGTCAGAACAGTCAGGACTCTGAACTGATTTTCTTCAACCAAACTCACTTGGCCTTACTGCCTCAGTCTTCCTGTTGACATCAGAAAGGTCCTGGTACAAACACAGCTGGGATGGCCACTGTCTCAGCTGGGGATCGAACCCACAGCCTCACACAAGCTGGGCAAGTGCTCAATCCCTGAACTATATCCCCAGCCCTTATTTTACCTTATTTCTCAGCTCCCATTTATCTATTAATCTATTTATTTATTTTAGTTCATTAACGATGCTGTGGATGGAAGCCAGGCCATCATGCAAGCTAGATAAGTATCCTCCAACTGAACTTGCTACAAACTTCAGCTGCTTTTTAACAATTCTTCATATACCTTTCAACTGGCTAGTACCTTGTGTTTTTTCCACCTTTCCATAAGAGAAGATGACTCAGGCTGCGTGGCACGGAGACAGTCCCAGGGGCCCACACTGAATCTACAGTCTGGACTAAAGTTTTTTGGGTGTCAAGTAGCAGCCCATCTATAAAAAAATCTGTAGCAAAATCTCACCTACACCACCACCACAGACAACTCCATTTTTTTTTTTTTTTTTGGCTCAAATAAGGAATTCTACTTCGCTGCTGCTAAGTTTACTAACCTTCGGTCTCCACCTCACTCTCCCGATGCCCCAGCCTCTGTGCTCTTTTGAGGTATTCAGGTTCAAGAATAAATTATCTGAGGGTGGTGGTCACAACCACGACAGTCCCAGAAAAGTCTCTGATAATGTGGCACATCTAGGAGACTCTAAGAGAGATTCAGCTGCCCTGGTAGTACACTTTACAGTTAGTCTTCCCGCTCCTAATGCTTAAAGTCCAAGGCAAAGATCATCTATCTGACTATGCACCCCCCCCCAGCAAAGTTAAGGAAGATCGGAAAATTGTCTACATCCCAGCATCTGGTGTCAGAGTTGGCCCAGCAATGGCTGGGGACTTTACTGGCTGATCCAAGACTGAAAATGGAAGGGACAGGGTCCCCTCCCAAACAAACTTCTCACTTCCCGGCGGACTCCTCCTCCACTTCCTTATTTCCCCCAGGGAGGGAGTAGGAGCGCCCAAATGCGAAATCAAGATGCGGGTTTGGGCTGAGGCTGGCTTTAGTCATGGGTGAATAACGCCCGCCTGGGGTCCACCCAAGCTTCGCAGCTGCTTGCCCTGGCTCAGCCTGTCTGTGACAGAAAGCCAGGGAAGCCCGGGTACTCAGTTCCAGCGCGCTGGACCCCGGCTTAACCAGGAGCAGAGCCCTACACACATTTCCCGGGGCCGTTTCC